TTGATTTGTGATTTAATCCCTTACTCATTTCTCTAAATGACCAAAGTCAAAGTCAAGTATGAAAGAACATGCTTCTTTCATAGTGATCACTCACTTTTTTATTCAGTCCCTTTCTCTTCCTGTTTTACTACATTCACTCTTGCTACTTTCCCCTTTGTGCAAGGGAATAGTAACATAATTCTCCAGACTGACAGGCATAGATGCAGCCTTTGTACATTACTGGTTGCTCAGCCATTCCATAAGCAAATCACTTGTGAATTGTAATATATTTCAAATTACACCACTCCATATTTGCATATTTGCCATTTTTCAACTTTTCCACAGCATTCATGACCTCACTTTCATCAATCTATTGCTATGGCTTTTCTGTACTGAAGCCTTAAAGTTGCTCAGCTCCTATCCATGGGATGACTGGAAATGAAGCAGGGTTAAGAAATGCCTTTTTGAATTTCCTCTGCTTTGGCCAAGATGATGGCCTGATGTGCTCTGCAGACTGTATTTACCATGGGCCCTGATCGGTGGATCCCCCTGGATTTCTTTATCTTTCCCATCTGTGTCAGGAAAACAAGCTCCAATCACTTTCATTTCTGTAGGAGGGACCTTGAGAACGCATAATTTCTTTTGAATGAACCTCCTCCATTGACTCTCCCTTATACTTGACATTTTCCCATCAGCATATTCCCTGATGGGCAAAGAGGAAAACACTACAGTTTTATCATTTTTCCTGTCACTGAGGTCAGAGGGAAAAAGTGGCGGAACATCTATCCAGTTCACCAAGAAGAAGGAGGAGAAGGAGGAAGAAGAACAAAAAGAAAAGTCCGCCATTTCACTGCTCTATTATTGAACTTGTAAAAGAAAAGAGCCAGTGTTTCACCTCATTGGTGAACTTGTAAAAATAATACGGCCATGGAGGGCAGTGATCAGTGACCGGAGGGAGTGCTTCTGCTACCAGACTCAACAGCCAAATGAAATGGAGATCTTTGCCTTTGCTAAAACAAAGTGAAGCAGGCAAATCAGACACCACTGCTTGAACTGACCCAAGTTAAAAACACTACTTTTGATGCATAGGAGGAAATGATGTGCAGAGGTGGCTGGCGGTGGAGAAGAAAGACAACATCATGCATTCCTGTCCTTGAGAAATGGTCAGTGGACCACACTCATGCCAAAGCAAGCTGGTAATGCAGACTAGTATGTTTATAGTTCCCATAGAAATCTTTAAAATGCTCTTTCTGGCATTCCCTTACTTCAGTTTCACCCCAAATCATTTATCACTTCATTTGCAATTCTGTTCACTCTGCTGGAGGTTCCTTGTTTATCCTTCTCCATTTCCAAAAGAACTTTTTATTCCCATCAAAACCACTCTGCGTCTTCTCTGTTTCTTTTTCTCTTCATTTTGTCTTACATTCCAAGTCTTAATCTTTCAAACACCATTGTCTTCTTCAGCGGCACAGAAAGATTAAATGTACCTGTCTGACAGGCATATCCTTCATCTCACTGCTTTGTTCTGACAGCTGATGGAAGATAGACAATTCAGAACAATAGCATCCCAAAATATGATGATGGACCATTAATTCAGAAGTTGGGATGGCCTTGTAATTGCTCTCCAAAATCCATGTGCATAAAGATTGGGTGGGGATAAGCTGGCCAGCTTCCACTACCTCCACCCCATCTACTCCTGATTGTCAAGGAATATAATCTGCTTTTCCGTTTGGAAACAGAACAGCTCTAATATTTTCAGGTGTGTAGTAGTGCTCAGTGGGACCCTGGAGATCTGTGGTGCAAGAATAGCTAAGTGCCCCACTGGGATTCTTCCCAGGCAGAGGCGTTTACCTTAGCACTGGTATTTGTGGTTGCTCTGAGCTCCATGCACACTCACCTCAGTGACATTTTTTATCAAAGAGGCAGGAAGCTGTGTGGGTGGTAGTTTGTGTTTATCCACCTCACTGATAAGAGGACTAGGGTGGGGGAGAGTGATTTCTACTTCTTTTTTAGTGACCTTTTTTGGGACCCATTAGGTGGTGCTGGTGATTTCTATGGGGTGGGGTGGCTCTTGGCAGAATCCATCTTGGGATGTTGTGAACTCCCTGACAGTTAATCCACCTCGGAGCATTAGTTTTGTCAATCCAATTGAAGTGTGTGTATGTGTTCTAGAAGAGCAGTAAATCAGTACTGTACACAATACCCACGTATGCCTTTTCTCCATAACAGTTTCATACCTGCTTAATGGGACTTTTCAACTTCTTGAAAGCTCTGATAGAAAGCCAAATTGAATGTCATTTGCTCCTTTGTGCTCCAAGTGTCATCTAATATAAGGGATTTTTGAAATCGTTTAAATGTTCATGTTCTTCTTTGGAGAGGGAGGATGTGTGCCTGTACATATAGCTCTGAAGAGGAAGAGGAGGGAAAACACTCTCAAATCCTCAAGACATTTTCTCATCCTCTGCACCACATTATCAATGAGAATGCCCCTCAGCTAAAATTCAGGTTGCAGAGATTTCCCAACAATTGAATTCTGTGCTATCAGAACGTATCTCAGATGGATTCCCATGTGCAGCTACGGCATTTGATTTCTCAGTACTTAAGGCAGCTGACACATTCAGCACAGAATGAAGTGGATGATGACACCTGAAGGAGAACAATGGGCTGTATCATTTCGCATTCTCCACACTCTCTGATCTTTAAAAAAATGCTACTGGCATTATAGTCAGAGGCTGACACAATAGGGTGTGAGCCAACTTTGAACTTTTCTTTCTAATGGGTGGGTGGGTGGGGGGGTTGTGGAGTACTTGGGTTCTCTGAGCTTGGTTGTTTTC